GCCCCGCCCTGCCCCAGCTGAGCAGCGCCTGCCCCTCTCCCTCTCACCGTGGGGGCCGTTGATCTGCCCCCCTGTGCCCCTTCCCTTCCCCCTCTGCAGCCCCCTTCCCACACAATTCATACCACTTGTCTATGAAACTCTGTAAATCACAGGCTGACACATAACCACACCTAGGCAAATTTGATTTATAAATATGGATTATTGTGGATAAATTGCTTTAATTAACTGAAGCCCAGGTCTGTTTTTAAGGCAATCTGGTCACAAGTAATCAGTGCACACCATGAAATGCTATTAATGATCCTTTATCTTGATGTAATAGCATTCAACTGTGTGACTTTTTTTTTTACTCAAATATAAAGCAGAAACCTATGTGCCATTTAACTAAACTTAAGTAATTTAATGAGGTTACTGGCAAATTCAGCAGGAAAGCAGAAAGGCATGACCTAAAAACTTGCAGGTATGTGTAGACTTCTATCTTGAATTAGTCATTTTTTAAGTTTCTAACAAGGGTTTTAATGTAGGAAACCCTGTTTTGTGTGTACCACAGACTACTTCCTGCCTTCTGCCGCTGAATTCAGAAGGAAACCTAATAAAAAAGTAAGTTAGGAACAGGTGTCGCATCAGCAGAATTAGGAAGGGTAAAGAGGGAGTGTGTGAACATGTGTGTGAAGTCTGTATATGGCAGAAGACTTTTATCGTGCATATTTTAGTGAAAATGAATACCACGTAGCAATTGTCACGCTTACTGGACGCTGACTGGGAATTATCATGCTTCAGAGATGTTCATTCCATAAATACATTTTAAATGAACATAGTACCAAACACTAAAATATTTAGCAGAGCACAGGGAGAGGTGTGTTTTAGCAGCCACACTAAAGCAGGGAAACAACCCAAAGTTAAACAAAAAGATTTCTATGGGCAAATCTGTGCTAGTAAATAGTTGATATCTGGCAAGCTAACAGCATTGGGTGTGCCATTAACCCACTATTTAGTAGTAAAGTACACTGTTCCCTAGCAGTCCTTACAAATAAGTAGGACTGAGCCTACACTACAAACTTTGGCTAATACAGTTTTGTCAGTTAGGGGTGTGAAGAGTTGTTCCTGACTGCCATAAGTGTAATGGCCATGCTGTCAAGCTGTTTTGACTGGCATAGATTTTTTTTTTTAAATTTAGTGAGAGGCATTGGGATGAACTACCTCCACAGAAGAGTGCTACCACTAGTTTAAAATGTATCCATGCCAGGAATGCTTTACCCTAAGGGGTACCTACAGAGCGCTTCTAGTAGAAACTTCACTTGAGTGTGTGTTAATTTTTTTGCTATGGTAATTTTTTTACTTCTAATTCTGTTTCTGCAATTTAGAACCAAGTGGTTTACAAGTAGATCTAACACATGTTTTCATTATGACATCAGTGGCTTTTTTGCCAAGAATCTGCCATGATCACTAACAGATTCAGTTTCACCCCTTGTGAAACAGTGTAAGTAGTGTTAGTTGAGATGTGGTTCTTATTGGGTCATCCCCAACATTATAACCATCTTTGTAACTCCTGTCACAGCGGATCTACACAGTGTCATGTTTAAAATGCTGGTAGCTATGGGTGTCTTGTTTCTACTGGTGGGACAGTAGACAGCACTAGCAATAGTGAGAAATGTTCTGCAAAAATTATGGTATTGACAAGAACAATAGGACTACTTCTGATGGGTAAAGGCGTTGTTTATTAGCCTGTTGCCTCCCAACCTGCCATTTGCAGGTATATTCAGAGCTGATCTAATGGAGCTGTGGTACTGAAGTAACAAAGCCATCACAAACACCTTTTCATTTTTTCCATGAGCAATGTTAGGTAGTGACACTGCAAGCAAGTTTGCCAGTTCTTAAATTGGCAAAATGCCATGCCTGGCCCCTAGGCAGAACAAGTTAAAGTGTTACTCTAACCAGTGGCACAATGAATAATGCATCTGATTTGGATCAGGAAATTCTTGGATGCTTTTCTTGCTGGAGTGATCTGACCCCAGCTGATTTCTTGCCCCTTGGGCAGGGGGCTGGACCCAATGATCTTGCGAGGTCCCTTCCAGCCCTAATGTCTATGAAATCTGTGAAACTGTAGGTTTGTGTCCTGTCTAACTTGTTGGAGTTAGGTGCTTGGGTGATCTGTTCCCACTCAAGGTCCTTGGGACAGGACCAGGAGCAATGGCCTCAAGCTGCACCAGAAGAAATTTAGGTTGGAGATTAAGGAGAACTTTCTGATCATGTTGATGTCAAGCATTGGAACAAGGTACATAAAGCAGCTGTAGTATCTCTATCCCTGGAAATTGTCAAGAGCATGTTAGACAGACACTTGGCTTGGATGGTTTAGTCAGAGATGATCCTGCCTTGAGTAGGAGGTTGGACTGAATGACCTCATGAGGTCCCTTCAAGCCCTAACTTTCCATGATCACTAACATTAATTTAAAGCCATAAGAATTATTTTCACCTTAAACAGGAAAGACCTCTTTCAAAGTTTTCAGCACAGAGGAGGGCAGTGTACATGCAAGGACCATATATATCTTTGAAGGAATGTTTTTGTAGTCAGAATGAATCCATGGAAGTGATTTCAAGCACAACTGATAATAATAATAATAAAGATATTTAGGTTGGAAATTAGGAAGCACTTTCTTAGTGTGAGAGTGGAACAAGCTTCTACTGATCATAGATTGAATTGTAATTTATAATGCTCTATTTTCTAATAATTGGAAATGAGGAGCTAAGCTTCTTTTAAATGAGTTCTCTTGACTAATTTTTCACGTTTCCTCTAAGTCTCTCTTTTTTTTCTTTTTATTAAGTGTTTTGCATTACACTTGCTTGCATATGCATAACACAGAACTTTGTGGCTGATCCTGATAGAACTTGCCTGGCTTCTGCTACAGAGTTACTAACTGGCTCCTTTGACTTCAGAAGTTCAGCAGCCTCTTGCAGCAGGTCTAGTCCAGGAGCAAATGGTTCAGCTCTTGCTCATAATCGTGTGTTGCAAGGTTGTTAGATTGCATAGCTATGTTGCCAAAGTTAAATTTACAAAAACAGTGCTAAGTCAGCAAGACCCATGCTGCACATCCTTGTACAATTTACTAGTTTTTATTTTACTATGTAAATAACATTGAGCAATATATTTAAATAGAAAGAAGGAATACATGTGTACTTATATGCAACTTTACTATGACTTTTTTCTCTAATTTAAAAACTGTAGATAAAATTGTTCTTACTGTGGTTTTTTCCTCACTTACTTAACACAAGTTTGGTGAAGAGATTTCACTCAGTTTCCAAATACCCAATGGAGTGCTCAAGCCCGGACAATTATAGCAACAATTTAAAAGTTGTGAAAATAATGGTTATGATAAATTTTATTTTGTATCTTTATTTGGGGGCTATGACTAATTCCCAAGTGTTAAATAAGGAGCAAATAAAGTAAAGCATGCTGGAGAAAAGAGACCTTAGATTCACTTAATCTGATGTTTATGTAAAATATAATTGTATTTGTATTTTGCTTTGAATAGGAGGAGCCAGAGCTGGTTAGTGCAATTTATGGACGAGGGATAGCATATGGGAAAAAAGGACTACATGTGAGTATTTAATAACTTAAATGTTTATCAGAAACATTTGAATGTAAACTGTAAGAAAAAAAAATTGCAACAGGAATTAGATCAATTGAAATTGATTATATTCATGCAGCCCCAGAGTCTGTCAGTACATGGTGGTAATGTTGTTAATTTTTACATTGAAATATCCTTTTTCTTTCATCAAAAGATGCTTTGTTACTGGGGGTAGCAGGTCCTTCTTCAGACCTGGGAAGAACTAGTTGTGTGTAGGAATGTCTTTTATAAAGACAGGATGTGATAGTGAAGAAAAAATAGCTTATGTGTTTAGAACAAAATCAGAGAGATTAATAATGGCATTACAGTTTTTGCTATGTCAAGCAGCTTCTATTTTATATTCTGTCACTTTTTAAATTTTTTTTATATTGTATGCCCTACTTCTTCCCTGAGGTCCTCTGTAAATACATGCCTACTTCTTGGGTTCATACAAAAATATTTTGAATTTACTTTGCTTGAGTAGCAGTCCCCATAATTACTAACATGAACAGTTTGGCTACGTTGGGTTTTTTCCTACTAGATGTACAATGGTTGCACTAGGTAGAACTTTAGTTTGAATCAACCATTTAACTTAGTTTCCAAAGTTTAATGCAGTTGAACCTGCATTTCCAAAGTGGGTAGTAACACAGAGATCAATAGATTAACACAGCAGTCCAGAGTTTGAAGGGTTGTCTATCAATGATAAAAACTTTGTAAGCAAGAATACGTTTTCAAGTTTAGCACTTTGTTTTTGAAGTATGGCTAGATATCCAGACCCTGTCCAAAAGGTAAGATTGCCTGCAAGTATTCTATCATGAGATTAATTGGGTGACTCCATGGGAATGCCATTGTGCAGGAGCTCTAACTCCTAGGGAATGTTGACAGAAACTCCTGTGACCTGCACTTGCATTTCTGCCTCCCTAGATGGTTCTGTGAGTTTTTGGCAGCTGTTTAAAATGGCCCTGCTTCACAAAAGCTGGTTTCTATGTGAAGTATTTTGTGCAGTCTTTTTTTTCCTTCCCTGACTTGATGCTAGTCTGGGATGTACCTGCCCCCCCCCCCCCTTCCACTGTATGCCAGATCTGGTGCCTCCTCTGGTAGGTCTGGTATAGTAGTACAGTCCCAGGCCAGCTAAAGTGGATGTTAGATCCAGCATGTAGCGGAGGAGGGAGGGAATTAATTTGTGGGCCCAGTCCAGCCTGTGGAACCAGCTGTGCACCATTTATCCAGCCTGTGGAGCAGTGGCACACCAGATGACTTTGACACCCCTGGACTATACTGATAACTTAATTCTAAGAACTACTACATTATTTTACATTAAGGGCCTTAGTATAAGCTGACTAAAAAGCCTTAATTTAAAGCAGACAAAATGTACATTCTCATAGTACTACTGTTCCTCTTAATACTACCCTTAATACTGTTCGTACTGTTTTGGAAAAAACATTATTTTTACCATATTTACTCAATCCTAAAACAAACCCCCACCCCCATTTAACAAGGGGAGAAAACCCCCTTTTCTTAGAATTGTATATAAGAGTAATGGGTGGAGTGGGGTGAGGAGCAAGTGGATGCTGTGGCTTAGGCTCCAGCACCTACCCAGAATTAAGTCCATAGCTGCAGCTACTTCCTGCCTTCCCCTGCCCCCCCCCCCCCTCTGCACCCAG